TAAGTATGAGCTCAATTATTTTGCCATTGATAAATACTGCTATCTCTGTTTCATCATGCCTTCTAATGGATTCACACTGCTGTTCTGCCATTAAATGCCATTTAGCCTCGTTGCCAACTATAATTGCCAATTCCTAGCCGATTTCGCTTTAAATCGATTTTCAGGTGCTGCATCGGCCTTTGTTTTCTATTTTTATCCTTCTTTCTTTTGCATTTTTTTGTCTTTTTGTTGGAGCAATGTTAGCCCGGAAAATCTATTGAAGAACATGAGTCAAATGTGTGAGACTAGTAAAACATTTATCGAAAATGTGAAGCTTGAAAACAGTATTTGAATATTTTGGGTATTTGGGAATTTGCATATTTTAAAAAATAAGCAAATATTTCTACGATCTCTTCCAATTCTGTACATAAACTAAGCTTGAAAATTATACAATTACATTGAAGTTCTGTAAAAATTATAATAATTTAATGAAATTATATTACATTCAGAACGGTTTCGCTCACTGTGTAAACTGTACAACTCTCTGTAAAAGTAAATATCACACTTATTAAATTAGCTTTGCTTAGTATTGATATTTAGATTTTATATAATAGATTTTCCGGCCTTACTTAAACAAAATCCAATAAGTAATGCAATGAATTTGTAAAACAAAGCTACAATGAAGCAGTCCAGTCTATTTTTCATCCTACTTATATCACTTATCGCAACATCAAATGGTTGTTTCCATTCAGGTGCTAGGGGAAAGAAGAAGGGCTGCCAACCACTGCCCAATTGTCGTATATTGGGTATTTGCTGTATTCCTAATCAATTTTAACAACGGAATTGAATTTTAAAATTGAAAATGTGGTCAAATAAATGGCATTTAATAACAAATAAAGCAAGTGCATATAACTGATTTCATTATTTTTCTGTGTATTATTATTATTATTGACTCAATTAAACATGAAAAATTATACTGAAATACAAAGGTATAAAAATTGTTATACGACCTCTTTCAATTTTATACAATAATTAAGTTTGAAATGAAATTTAATCACATTGAAGTTTTGTAAAGATTACAATAATTTGATCGATGCCAAATAACTGAGCATCACAATAGTTCTTGACTAGTGCAATACTTGTAATTCCTGTAGCAATAAGATAATATATCTTAAGCAAAAGAACTTTTCCATTTGCTTCGAGCAAAGACACTTTACATTTGAGGCAGCCAGGAGTTATCTGCTCACGTGTCACCCATTTACGTTTCACAGAGGCTATTATCCCCCCTTCCATTGCTCCCATTACCAAAGAGATTCAGAAACTGAGAGGGAGAAGAAGGAGACGAAGAGGAGGAGAAGGAGGAGGAAGGAAGTAACGCGCTTTTGCTTGTTCTATAGTCGTAGCAAATCCATTTTACCTGTCAGCTTTAACGCGTAAGCAAATGTCAAAACGGTTTCTGGCTAGAGCCAAGCTCCGAATGAAGATACCAAACACACACACACACACACACACACACACACACACAGATACATACGTTAACGTATGTATCTAAGCACTTGGGCTACACATACACATGTATGTATATGTATATATATATATATATATATATGTACGTAGCTGGCTATGCGTCTTGATATATTGCCAAGTCGCAATTAGAGCGCAGACCGCAGAATGAAACTCCGGCTGGCATGTAAGCAAGCAAGGATGGCAACGAGGAAACGTTCCTAAATAAATATTCGGAAAAAATAGAAGGGAAATAAATTTGTGTGCAAACAAAATCAAATGCTGCAACTTAAATGCTTTTGTACCCGCGGAATGATAGTCGCGTCTTATGTGAAGGCGCATTAAATCCAATCAAATCGAATAAAACGATTCCTTTGTTGGCTATTTGCCCCTTCAGAAGTGCAATTTGTGTAATTCGCGTTTCGTTGTCACTTACAATTTAGACATGCTCCCGAGCTAGCTTCGTGGCCCACTAATTGAACGCATTTATGCACATGGAATTGTCCCAACCCTGAAAGAGTAGGCCAACATTTTTATTCATTCTGTCGCTAATTAGGCTCAGTGTGCTGCAGCCGAGTGCGATTTCAGGTCCGCCACATATGTGTGACAATCGCCTGGGGCCAGATCAAATGCTTGACTTTGTTGCAACCCGCTATTGAATCCATTTTTTTATTTTTTTTGTTTTTTACATATTTACCGCTGCGTCAATTGGTTCTCCTCAGGGACGCTTTGGCCTGTCCCTTCGTTTTTTGTTCGCTCAACATTTTCAAAGACCTTTTGCAATCATTCATTTGAAATTATATTACATTCGGAACATAGCATTTCGAGATCAAAGCACTTTGCTTATGTCTTTGGGGAGAAAATGTCATGTCAACAAGTTTGTTGCACAATTTTCGAAAGAGGAATAAATCTCGTATTCTTAACGGTTTGGCACACTCAATTTAAACTGGAAACTGTACGACTCTCAATGTTATGTAAATGTATATATCACACATATTAAATTAGCTTTGCTTAATATTGTATTATATATTGTGTTATGTATTATATTTCGATTTAATATAATAGATTTTCCGAGACTATTTAACCAACGTCCAATAAAAAATTGCAATGCATTTGTAAAACGAAGCGATAATGAAGCAATCAAGTCTATTTTTCATCTTATTCACAACACTGATCGCAATGTCATATGGCAATATTTATGAAGACAGCAGACAGAAAGGATGCCAACCGCAGCCTAATTGTCGTTTCTTGGGTGTGTGCTGCCTGCCATATTAATAACGAAATTAAATGTTGATAATAAATTGCATTGAATCTGTGAATAACTTTGGGAAATATAATGTACAAGCTAATAAAACGAATAAAAGAGAGCATGAAACAAAAGTGCTACACAGTTTTAGGATCTAAACACGCTCACTTTGCATAGACCAGACCCCAGCTCACATTTGAATAATGAGTGTTGGGCGAAGTAGTTTTATTGCTGCAGCTGCAGCTGCTGTTGCTGCTCCTCTTGTGTTGCCTGACTGTGTCCCTTGGCAAGTAGAATGCTGCTGTCTGCTGCCACACACCCGAACACCTCCGTCGCCGGCAATTGTTTGTGTTTTTGGACACTGACATTTTGGGATTTTGTGTGCAAATTTGAGTTTTAGTTTATGCATGCAGCTTGGCTAACAACAAAAGCACAATAATAGAAGTGAGCGCAGATGCTGCTGAGTCAGCTAAACTTCTGTTTTGTGCCACAGCTACAGAGAAAAGTTTGCGACCCACAGCTAATTATGCCTTCCGGACCTGAAGTCTAAACGAGACTCTGTTAGTTGAGTTACAGATAAGGGCGGGAGTTTGTCACTGCTCCGATGGCTGGCAACTAATTTTTGGCAGCTGTCAGCAGTGTGTACGTAAATCCCTCAAAGTCAACAGCACTTCACCCAAGTGGCACATCAATTCGCGTGCTTGTCAACCGCATCACAAACACCACATCCCCATTTTTACCCCCACATCCCCATCGCCATGGACTTGCCCAACCAGATTGAAAGATTTAAGCATACATGGCGCAGAGAAGTCATATTGCACTCAGTCAGTTGTGTCACCGCATGCAACGTCGCTTATCGCTCAGCTCTGTAATGATTGCAACAGCCACATCAATCCCATTTACAGTCCCCCCCTCCAAATACCCACTGTCATATCTCTCATGCATTTTTCATAACGCAATTCGTGTTATTCACGCGCTCGCGGCAACGCAACAGTCTCTTCACCCCCCACACAAAGCACAGCATGAGTGATTTGCACAGTGGTCAGAATTTCAAGAAAATTGTAGCATTCGCTTCACTGTTTCACTTTATCTATAAACGAAAATATCATGGAAAGTGAATAAATTACTTTTAAATAGCCTGCAAATTGGATTAGTTTTCATTTTGAATGAAATGCTTGAAATTTGTTAACTTTTTATTATTTTTAGCTTTTGTATAATAATAAAAAAATGGCTTAAGTGTTTACCCACTGTGCGTCATCATAAAAATTGTCTCATTAATCATCAGACTGCATGCTGTGTTCGTGTTATGTTATTTTCGTATTTTGATGTTGGCGCAGGAAACACGAACTTAGGGTGAAAAACTAAAAATCCAGCAGGCAATTAAAATGGAAGCCCCCATCAATGCAAAATCCGTTTCATCAGCAGCAGCAACAGCGGCATCAGCTCCCCTTCCTAGAACAAGTGCTGGCCCCATAATTCAAAGTGTGAGCCGCATCTTTGGTCCCCACCCAGAACGAGACGCAGCGATTAGCCAAAGTCTTACGCGCTGAGACAAAAAAATAAATATATATAAAAGCAGAGGGGCTTATTTTAATCAGAGACAGACTGCGACTGTCGCTGCTGGCAACCGTGATAAGTTTAATCGTCTGCGCCATATTTAAAACAGCAGCAAATTAATTGTTTTTTTTTTCACGCCGTTCTCTAGAAGTGCGCATTAATAAACAATTAAGAGTTTTTAATTGCAGTTACACAGTCTGCTGCAGGTTTATTTTTATAAGCAGCTCTGAATGCATTTTACTGCGAAGAAAATATACATTTGCCAGATCTTTGAGCGATACAAACAAAGAAGGCAGCGAAGGAATTTCATTATTAATAGCATTCCATTGGGGAATTTTTAGGCTAAGATTCACTGGAAAGCCAAGGAACGGAAAATGTGTTTTCAGCGTAGCCTTGAATCGCTTTTGGTGGTGGTCACAATTGTTGTATCTTATTTATGAGTCACAGCTCGTTCGCACCTTAACTGAACAGCATAAGCCGCTTATCACTATACTGATTGTGCAACGGGAGGGACGCATTGGCGGGGCTAAAGCGGCTTGGAAATGCCTAGAATCATACTACGGGTAGGCGCGCAAATTAGCTTCATTTTATAAGGAGATGCGTATGAAAATATTACATTGAGCCAAATAAAAAGTATATAGAAATGATGCATGGTTTATTTATAACCGTTGAGAATATTTCTGCCTACATTTCGTTTCATTTGCAATTATCTCACCTTGTTAGTGCTCAAAATTGACAAGAGCTGAAAATAAAAGACAGAAAAACTAAATTAAGTATAAAGTTTATATTGAAATGATGTGTTGCTAAAAAACCATTGATTTCAAAAACAATAGATCATGTGGACAGCTTCGTTGCATGACAACAAGAGAAAGTTCTTAAGTGAATGCCGTACTAAGCCGGCTTCAATGTATATGCTGATGTGCATGAAGAACGATACAAGTCTGAACAACAAAAAAAAATGTTAAAGCCACTACGAGAAAATTGTAGAGAGCTTTGGGTGGGTGAGTGATGGCTGAGGAATGACAAGAGCCAGACATTGAACACGAAAAAGGAAACTGGAGCGAAGACATTAGCCTGAAATGACAGCAACAAGATGCAAGACAGATACTCGGCTTATGTGTAGCTCTATTTTGCAACTGTATCATTCAGTGGCAAGACGAAGAGCAAGCGTAATAAAACGGGATAAACAAGTAAACAACAAATGACTTGACTTTCGTGGAAGTATGCCACAGGCAGCAAACTGAAATGAATGTGCGACAAAGAGGTGTATACGGTGAGTATGTGTGTGTGTGTCTAAGCTGTATGTTCTCAATCTGAAGTTATAACTGGCATTGTCAGTATTTTTTCTATGCCTGTATGTATATTGAAAAACGCTTTTCTGTCCCAAGGACAGCTGGCCCACATTCACATTCACATTCAGATTCACATCCACTCATAAGTCACTCACTCACACAGTCAGTTCAGTCATTCTCTCAGTCACTCATTCGACATCTGGCATTTTCGCGAGCTACTCATCTATGCAATATGCAGAGAAGATGGCTTAAATGGAGACTTTCATCATGGCCCCTGGCAGCTGGCAGGGCTTTTATTTTCCATTTCCAACTACTATTAGAGAGTCTTGGCCAAATGCTTTTCGTGCCAATGCCTTAGTTTAAATATTTATATAAGCGCGCCATTTTATGGGGAATAGTTTGCAATTGCTGCACACAGGCACAACGAGCGTATTTTGCTTTTATCATTATTGAAATAGGCCAAGCACACCAGTTTATGTTAAGCATCTACCCGATCCTGTTACGCCTCCGTCTCGGTATTTGTTTTCCTCCAGCTGCACTTTGGCAATAAAATGGCAATACCAAAATGGCTGGGCCAAGTAGTTTGTATTGTTGTTACTTTCATGCTGGCTGTGTGCAAGGAATTTACAAGTTTGCTTTATTAGTTTCTTTGTGTGATGATGATGAAACCGTTATTGGCTTATCCAGCAGTCGCTATACAGGCAAATGAATAACCGGCTCATGGCTTAGATGCTATTAGAAAAAACTATTTTTATGTTGAGATGCAAAATATATTCTGCTAAATTCGCTTACGCGATGTTCAATAAAGCTTATCTCATATATTTCTTGGCATAAAGCTCAGTATTTGGTTTCTGTGAAACTGAAATTTGGCTGAAATTGGTTGGGAGATGGTCCTTTAAAATTCAACTTGTAATTTATTCCAATGTACACATGTGTGTGTGTGTATACCTAATTTATATAATTTATAATTTTAATCCAATCTTTCGGTCCACTTATTTATTTGGTTCGCTGAATCTGGAATGCGAAAGTGTTCAGGGCTATAAGTTAGGACAAATGTGGTCATAAGGAGGCATTACGAGGCACAACCGAAAACTCAATTGCGCATGCAACGGCTCAAAAGGCTTAAGTGCGTATAACATTCAATTTGCGTTAATGGCATTAAATAAAGTCACACACACACACACATAGACACTATGATAAGGGCCTACAGAACATTATGTTACTCGGTTTCACCTTCGCAAACATTTTCATTGGCCGGCCACTTAAAAAAAAGGTTGCGCTTGCTACCAGACTTAAGCCACTCGACAGGGATCCAAAAATGCCAAAGAAAAAAAAGAAAAAAAAACGAAAAAAATCTACCTGTACTGGCTGTTTTTGCGATATTCTTAAATCGCATTAAAAATCATTGGCACATGTTGCAAGTGTTGGGGAGGAGGGGCAGTGGGAGTGGGTAGGATTTCAGCAGGAAGCAAAAGAATCGACAACGTGGCCGTAATATAAACAACAACAGATTCATTTTCACTTTAAATCGGGTAAAAACTTGCCAAAACAACACAAAATTCACCGGCAGCAAAGCCGTGTACGCCCCCTCGAGGCGTGGCAACAAATCAGGCTAAAAACATGAAATCGCTTTGGTGTTTTGCTGGAGCGGATGAGTTAAAGTGGAAGCAGGAGAGTGGTAAAAAGTTGTACTTTAGATAAAGTTGGTGCTGTTGGCTGTTTCTGCCAAACATTCTACATGCAATGCACGTACGTCGATAAACACACACACACACACACACACTCACACACACACACACACACACACACAACTACACACCACACTCACAGCCATTCTACACTCGTAGAAAGTTACCTGTGATAGAAAACGCATGCAATGCGCTTGTTTCTTGTTTTTGTATATAAGTTTCTTTTAGATTTTATTTTTGGCCTGATTTCTTGAGCTTCTGAACACATCGCCAGCACTTTGAGCTATGCTTTGTTTGAGCAAGTTTTTAAAAAGAAATATGCTTGTTGTGTGCTCAACCATTTGGCAGAACAAGCCTCTGGTCCCAAAAACGTCCCCAGAGCAGGCGTCGAAGTGTGGCATACTTTTAGGCAAGGCCGTCGCATTGAACAAGAGTTTTGTGTTTTACTTGCATTTTGTTGTGTAAATTACAAGCACTCACACACACACACACACACACACAACCAGTCGCACACACCCACATACAAATACATATACACAGACACATACTTTCTGGCAAACACAGTGAAATAAAATAAAGCACAAAAACTTAGGCACTTGAAACCGTTTGGTTGCTAGAGTCGAGTTTGTTCTGCTGTCTGTTTTCCAAGTCTCACTGCAGTAATAATAATAAAGGGAATTGTTATTGTTTTCTATTAATTTGCTTTTGTTATTTGTGTTGTTGTTGAGGGTGCTGCTGTTGCTTGTTACTGCCACTGTTGATTCTGTTGCTTGGCTCTTGACTATGTCTGCATTTGATTTGATTTGTTTTCTTCTCATATTTAGCTTGACTGTGGAAAATGTTTTTCAGCCGCACATCGCACTGAATGCCCAACTATATCATTTCTTATTTTCCTTTTAGTAAATATTAGAGATTATTTTGAAAATTGGTTTTATCTTTCAATAATTTAAATGTTGTTTGAGAATTGATTCAATATCAACAGGAGTTGTTCTTATAGTAAGTACTAATAATGTTCTTTCTTTGATTAAATTACTTTAAAGATTTTTATGCATCCAAAAGTTTACCAATTGGAGCTATTTACCGGTTTCTGATAACTAGCTTCCAATTGGTTAACACAAATGATATTCCAGCTGCAGTCAAAGTTAAAAGCTGAGTACCCCTCGGCTTTGTGCTTTTCAAATCGCAAAACTAATTAAAGCGCCAACCAAACTTTTGATGCAGATTAATTTCAGTTTAATATCAGCGCAAAGTTGGCGCTCATCAGGGCAACATCTGGTTTTCTGTATATCTTGAATCATATTTTGCATAATAATGAACAAGTTCATGCACAACAATTTGTACAAGCCGCATTAAATAGCAGCGGCGCCATATTGAAGGCAGCAAACTAAAACCAACTAAACTTTTTGATGAGGACATTGACTTTCCGATATTTGCAATCTAACGTGCCAAAGTTATTCTTCTCCTTTTTTTCTGATAACTTTATTCATATTTTTACTGAGCTTGGGTAAAAGTTGAAGACAATAAACCGAACTTGAAAACATCACTGTCAAATGGAATAAGTTTTATGTATTCGATTTTTGGTATTTTATCCAAGAATTTGATTCCTTATATTTTCATACGTTATATTTGACACAAATATATTTTAGAAGGAAAAATGCCGAATATAATTTGATGAAAATCATTTGGACACTTATAACGATTAAAGGTACTTACGAACACTGGGCAAGAAAAAGTTATGATATTAATTGTTTAATTTTTTACTTATATCAAAGCTCTTTAATTAGACATTCAAAATGATGACCACAATCAGGAAAATCCTTAACATGCCTCATATAATTTACGTGTGGTCGTGTGTTTTATTTTTTTTTGGCTGAAGCATCTTGCAAATTTCACTCACATTCTCTCATGTGCACTAATAAAGCAAAGCCAAGCACGCATCTAAAAATAAGTAGTTCTTGCTGTGATCCGAGTAAGCTGCGCATTAAATGCAAGCTCATGAGATACCCCGAAAGTAAGCCAAGACCAAATGTGAATATAATGAAAACTAGCTCATCTCATTCACATTTTTTATGGCCACTCATGGCTATAGACAACTCTCACATATTCCTCTTTCAGCCAAGGACGCTGCCTGCTGCCTGCTACCAGCTGCCAGCGGCTTCATTGCCAACACTTTGTCGCACTGTGGCTCAGAGTAGAAACACCAGTAGCCCATTACAACTACTTAAGGTATGTAAATAACGCGATGTGCGCGCGGTCGCTCCAAATAAGCTAAGGAAAATCATAAGCAGGTAGCTGGTAGCTGGTAGCTAACCCCGTTCTTATCCCCATCAGCCCCCTTTCACAGAGCATTAGCATAATCGTTATGGTTATGCGCGACGTGTGCATAATGGCTAACAGGGTGAGTGATATGGAGGGGGAGAGTGGGATCTGTGAGCTGTGAGCTCTAAAACAACGACACACATATAAACTATGTTAAGTGCGCTGACATTGTGATATATAGTTTTCTCTACCCTTCTACTGAATGAGTAGCAAAACTTGCCTATCAAGTTTGAAGGCAAAGTAGAACTCCTTAACATTGCTATGTGTGTTCAAAAACCTTTACATTTCTAAAGAGTCTGCTGCAATTATTATTAGGCTAAAGTTTACTCTATTTTATTTTAAAAAGTTGGGCACATACTAATTTAATTAAAAATAATGTCAATGAAGTGCTGTGGAAAAATATATTTATCCTCATCTTACATATTGCGTAAAAAAAATAAGAC